ATATATATATGTGTGTGTGTATATGTATCATATGACAGTATATTTATTTTCTATGTATATATATATATATTATATATATATATATATAACTTTGTCGGTGTGAGTGTCTGAGTGTTACCGTATATATATATATATGTATATGTGTGTATTTGTGTGTGTGTATGTGTGTGTGTGTGTAGTGTATAGTGTATTTATAGATGTATCTATCCATTTGATGCATAGACGTGTTTGTGCGCGCGCGTGTGTGTGTTTGTTTGTATGTGAGTATACGTTTTTTTGTAAATAGTTTTTCCTGCGTATACGATTGTGTCAGTGCTTGTTCGCGTGCATATACACGCAATGTAAATGAGTTTAAGTTTATATATGTATATGTATCTCATGGAGCCAACAGGACACTAAATCATACGTTAAGTGAAATCAAAGCTGAGTTTACGCGTACTAGACACTTATTGTGATATACATTCGTCGTAGATGATGATTGGGAAGTCCATGTTCAGGGAAAGAAACACAAACACCACGAGGAGGCCCTAGCCGCACTACAAGCTGAGGCTCGGCGTACAATTTTCGTACGCGGGTTTTCGAAAGCAGACACTGGCATTGATGAGCTTGCATCTGTTTTCTCCCACGTTGGTCTCGTCAAAACGGTAGTTTTCGATCCTAAAGGAGTAAGTTATATTGGTGTGCTGATGTCGTATCGGGGGAACCATACATGTGTGCACTATATCTCACCGGTCTGCTGCATCTCGTTGCAACATTTATTGCCTTTCGACACGGTAAATTCACTACTTATAATCAAGTTTTCTAGGGTTGAAGTACGATTTGCTTGGTGTTTGTCATCGGAAGATTATCAAGATGTATATTGCGGACAAAATCGTCCAGATTGTCCAAAATCGATGTAGCATCGCATTCGCGGTCCAAATTCAAGCACAATCTGCTCATCTGAATCCTCGCATCTTCATTCCTCATCCGCGACAACCACCCAGAAAACTTTCGCGTTCGTGGAGTTTGAAAAGGAAGAAATCGCTGCCAGTGTGGTGAGCGGATGTGCCAACAAGCCCTTGTACTTGGGAGACAGGAAATTGACTATTAAACCTCGGGACGTACCGACCAGTCTAAGAGTAACCAAACAGGAGAACAATGTATTCATTGACAACTTACAAGATAATCTGAAGACGATTGTGGCCGAGTACGAAGAACCTGGTATGTATGAGCGTACTAGAAAGCACACAGATGTATTCTATTACGAATGGCCTGCATGTCATCTCCGAAACATGTTACATAGCAAGTCATTCAAAGATACCCATGTAGCTGCTGAAGTCTCTAATATGCAAGCTGAAAACGGTTATTAATTCAATATCGATGTATACTAATTGGTAAATGTATACTAGTAGACACTACATAGACCAATTTGTGGAATATACCTGCATATAGAAGCAATCTAATCCCTTTCACCTCGTATCTACTTTAGACATACAAAAGGGACCGGATGATGCAAAAGCCGATTCTGTCCTGCGGCAGTTGTATTCACGCACAGCGCTCTCGCAAGCGGATAGGGCGGCCAGACAGACAATCTGCGAAGAGGTCACAGCAATGCTGCAGGGGGTTGCACCCGGGTGTAGCATAGAAGTAAGTCGGTGTGTATTTGGTAGACTGCATTGAGACCCATTAGAATTTTTGCAGATAGAATCATTATGTACATGACTCTGAGCGGGTACCAATTATTTGTTTTCACTGCACATACAGATCACGACATATTCTATACCTTGATTTCTCGTTGTGTGATCTAAAATCTGTTGTATATGGATACAGCTATTCGGTTCAACGGTGAACAACCTTGGGGGCTGCTGGTGCGACGTGGATATGTGTTTATTGCTACCCAAAGAGCTGCACTCGTCAGACTACAGTGAATTGATGACGAGTATTGTGGGTGTAATGAAGAGGGCTGGTTGCCGGAACGTTGGCAAGCATCAAGCCAAATGTCCTGTGGTGCGGTTCACCTATGGAGAGCATAACCTTGCCTGTGATCTGAGTTTCGAGAATCGGTAAGGGTGTGTGTTTTTTCTCGCATGCGCTCCCTCTAAAAGTATGGACATATAGTCTTCCCCTTAGTAATCTTGTAACCGAAATCTACTCACATGGCGATTTATTGGCGCCTCATGCTAATTCTTGGGGCATAGACTTGCTCCTTAAGCTCAACTAATATGCGATTGCCTGTTTCCGATCGTTACTTGCCAGCCTGGCTATAAAGAATTCAGAATTGATGAAGTCTTTTGCAGATTGTGATGACAGAGTGAGGCCCATCATGTACGCGCTCAAAGCCTGGAGAGTGTCTCGCAACGTACAGATTACCAGCTATGCACTCATGGTCATGGCTCTCCGCTATCTGATCGACCGAGGCACACTCGATCCGGTGCAGCAGCCATCAGAGGTACGTGCCTAGTGTTTCAGATTTAGGTGGGGAAAGAGCGTGGGGAAATCACAGATATCACGGAGTAAAAGTGTACAGCTGTAATTTGATATCTGTAGCTTTCTGTGGCCCAAATGGATTGAAATGTTTGCTCTTCCATGTCACAACGGATTAGCCATCGTTTACATGGACTACTACTACTGGTCAGCTTGCATAGTCTTTATTGGCACCGTGATTGCTCATATGCGCTGATTCATCGCGTTAGACTTCTACAGTGCCACTCTGGCGAGCACATCGCATGCACATCGGATCGTTTCCCAGAGTGTGTTGACGGATGTACCATTGCTCCCATAGTCACGCACATGCATTTTCAGTCTCGCACGCGTGGAACAGACGCACAAGTGCGTTTCGCTTTGTTCGTTACATCTAAATATGATAATATCCTTGCGAAAACCATAGCTTCTCGCATTTGTTGTATGGTTTTTCATGTTGTTGCTTGCCGACCGTCCTTGCAGAAAGTTTTGCGTTCCCCAGCTCAGAACAATGTACTCCTCTTTTCGTTTGAGCATCTCAAACGTTCGCTTTTTCCTTTATTTCAGGAGGCGGGCGCTGAAGTAGTTGACAACTGGAATATCTCGTACAAGCCTCTTGATGTAGATGATGCCAGAAATGATCGCACATCGTGCACCGAGCTATTATACAGGTTATTTATGTACCTGCATACGTACGACTATGCCAATAGAGTGTTAACTATCAATGCGTCTCTGAATACACAATTGTACTTTCCGCCGCATATCAAGAAGAGCGCAATGGTCGAGTCCTTTGAAGGTGCCGTGGACGGTCTGAAGGTGTGTAAGCCCTGCTGGAAACCGCTTTATATTCTCAATGCTTATTAGCATGTGGAGATATCACTCGCAACTGCAAATACCCATTTGCAGCAAAGCGGGTGTCGTGGTGAAGGCAATTGCAGCGTTGTTATTAAGAGTGCTTTATTGAGAACAGACCATGTCGATTGTATTCCACTCCTGTTTGTTAACAGTGGTCTACTCACCATATACATTCCATCAGGTCATGCGCGGCGGCAATATATGCGTACAGGATCCCTTTGAGCTCAGTCACAACCTCACAGCTAGCGTGCGTTCAGAAAACCATCGCCACTTTATAGACGAACTGGCTCGAGCACTCCGTATCATGGAGTCCTATGCCACATTGCCTGATTCCGGTTAGTGTACTGTACCCTGCTGTGGATTGTTTGACATAAAGTGCCTGCACATGTCTTTGGGCGAGTATCTGGGGCCTGCTATAGGCATATACTTCTCTAGAACTTACCACGAGATTTACATCTTTTTTTTCACTAGTTTCATCCTTCTTCATCCTTAGAATGTCGGGCTAAGGCACATCGACACGCTACCTCGTTTAGCGAACACAAGTGTAGAGATATGTTTAATTCTTCACATTCACTTTTGACAGTAAGTACATCCGCTCCTTTTTGAATTTACGAATCAATCATGAACATTCAATTAGAGATGAGTGTGGATGGGGACAAAACACTTCCCGAAGGGTGCTACTGGCCGCCGTCTGTGCTGGTCAGACTTACTGACCAGTCGAAGGAAACCGAGGAAGACAAGAAAGGAAAGGCGAAGGAGAAGAGGAAGTATGCACCGGATTATGTATGGGGAAAGGTGCGTCAGTGTGTTCTTTTTATTGGTTTGTGTGTCCGAATGCTATCAATGCCACACAGTATCGTTGAGTTGGCCATACCGTGTTGTGGCCCAGTTTTCTAATCAAATATCAAGTGCAAGAGCTGTGTTGCATTCAACTCTGAGGTTGGTTATAAATAAATAGATCCATGTTTCAATTACTAACCTCGAAACGCCTTCGACTACTGTTCGGAAATGGTGTAGCCCTCAGATCAACTTCTAAATCCGTTTGACTCTCGGTACGTTCTGATGAAAATATTTCTCCTTAATAGCTCGGACCAAATAGCAACCGAAGTCGGCCCGTTGTATCTAAAAGCATGCACCTGGATATCGACGCCTACTCAACGGCCGATGCTCTGTGTGGTATACTACAGACCATTTGGGACAAATACAGCCTCGATGTCAGTGCGGACGATCGTATAGAAGATAAAGCAGAACCGGAGAATGCAACTAGCACGAGCGAGACTAAACAGTTCCCTGTGCTCCCTTCACGGTCGGTATATCGTGTGCTCTTAACTTGTCGCGGGAACACGTGGGTGGGCGGTAGAAAGGCACGGAGAGCGGCACGGAGGGAGTTGGTAAGGATAAACTTTAGCGACAAAATGATTTTGCACGTAAATGTCGAAAATTGTTTTTGAGTATCTTGCTTGTGTATATTCTTCGTGATTATCGATACGAAGATCTATGCTGCGTAGAAGTCTTGCGTCAGGCAAGTGATTAGCGACATTGGCATCCACTCTGCTATACTCTCTGGGGGTGCGGTGCCAGGAGACCACTCATATACATAGCGACCGCTGATGCAACCATTGAAATTCAACACGCACAATTGAATATAGCAGTGCATTTCTACTTTTTAAGTAGCCTATAGTCAGTTGCCTGGGTGTTCGCATCAATTCAAGTTTTACAAAGCTTCGTTGAAGGGCGCGAATTGCTACCTAAAATGTGTACGTCACTCTTCAAAATATAGTATTTGAATCAGTCACCTTGTCAATAGTAGAGGTTTCGTATCAACCCCTACAAATATCCTGGTCTAAATCTTTCACGTTCTTTTTGTATCTTTACAGGAAAATAGTAGGAAGAGGTTGGCCGACGGTCAACTGGGGTCCGGTAGCACCTCTAAGATGAAAATGGCAGATGGCTCGAGTGCGAGTGAAACAGAAAAACCGCCATTGTGGACAGCTGTTGTCAAAGTGAAGCCGAGAGAAGTTGGTATGTTACTGACCAATTTGCAATATCTTTGCGCGATGAAATCATGAATAGCGCCTTGTGTTTTGTGCTTGATGATATGTGATGCGCTTGGAAAAAGATGCAGCTCTGTTTTAAGGACACTTCGGTCATTGCACATCGAGTTTCGGACTTGCATATTCTATTATAGATTGTTGTATGGACTTGTACGCTTCACACACGTCGTCGATTGTAAATTACAATGAGCTTGGTACATTGCTGTCTCATGCAAGGCGTTATCTATTAGCTTTTTGCAGTACCGTGAAAATATCATCGACACTTCAAGTTGAGATTCTCAAAATCAAATGCAGATTCACATGCCCTGGCGGAAGATCCGAAGGCAAAAGCAGGATTCAATGTGCACGTGCACCTGATCTCTGGAGATAAGCCGTGTTTTGAAGAATTCTATGCTTTAGCTAAGAAACACGTACTACATCCCTCAGACATCCATCCCACTGCCTAAACCTGTATGCACTTTGGGGATGGGCAGAGAAAAAACGCTCTTAAACTGCTCTCATTGTATGACTCGTACACGTTGTACGTGCACAAATAGAGTCATCTCGTCAAGAAGTTATTACCAAATCGTGCTATACTCGTTCCTCCGCCGGTTCAGTTTAGACGAAGCTACTGTGTACACCGAAATTTTCTCCGAACACGGCGATTTTTTAATTCCAGTCATAAACGTACTGTCCAGATATGAATAAACTCACATGTTTGATAACCGATCTTTGATTTTGACTACAATTAGAACTGAGTGCCTCCAATTAGTTGTGCAATCGAGTGGGTCCTTAACTTGCATTTATAGTCCGTGGTGATGTCTATGCTCTTTGGTCATAGTATAAGTTACAATGTTCTACATTTTCTGGTATATATA